AAATGGACAATACATTGAAAGGGCAAAGGAATAGAATTGAAGAGATAGAAGCTAGAACTAGTGAGCTAGAAGATAAATCTCTCAACACTACCAAGATAGAAGAACAAATACAAAAAAGGATAAAAAAATCCGAAATTGTGGCATGTTAACTTGTTAATTTCCAAGTAGGGTAAAATCTGTCTCTTCAGGGCACCATTGCTTCTGACTGTGCTGCTTAAGAGATATGGTTGTTATGCAACTCACAGACTACCTTTGTTTTCTAAGAGGGTGATTAAGTTCCTAGCAGGGCATCAACCTGTAAAATTTCAACTTCTGGTTATCATTCTGGTATACCCATGTTTCAAAAATTCAGGTCTATTCTGACATTTCTTCATTGGCCATGATTAACTGAAAAGTACTAGTTTAAAGCCCTGAGTAATTCTTATCAATACATTATAGAACAAACTCTGGGAAATGTTACAGTAGGTAATATGGAGAGAATACTCATGGAAGGTAAATGGACCAGTGAAAAGGCATCCATTCAAGTGACAGAAGAGGAGAGCCTTAAAATGGAAAGGAAGGACTGCTAAGGCAGATGTCATCAAAAAGAAGATGATAAAGAGGTGTAAAAGAGATGTCAGTAACTCTGCATTTAGACATGTTCCATTGGCATCCGTTGACTTTGAGATGAATGACAAAAAAGGAAGGAAGGGTTGGGTGGTCTGAAGTTTAGAGAGTTGTGTGAACTCCTAAGCCCATGGGCACTGACCTACCTGTCAAGATAGGGGCTAAGGCTGAGAGTGAAGGGGCCAGCTGGCAACATTCAACAAGAGACTGACTGGCAGAGGAAAGAAAAAGGTAGTAGGAAACACAGGGAAGAGTGTAAGAATTAAAGGAAACAAAGGTAAGAGGCGTCATTCCCAAGCCAGAGGGAAGCCTTCCACACATTAAACAAGGTGCAGGCATTGCCAGTGGTTGCAGCTAACATGGAATGAGCTGGGAGACAAGCACAACAGCACGGAAGATGCAAGGTCTATGTGAAGGTGGATTGCATGGCAGAGTCTGATGTGTGCTCTGCCCAGGGTGCCCAAGGATACCACACCTTAAAGTTTTTCAAGCCTGGCCAAGAAGCTGTGAAATACCAGGACCCCTGGGATTTTCAGACAGTGGAGACCTGGATGCTGCAGATGCTGAATGAGGAGCCCAGAACACCAGAGATAAAAGTTGAACTATGCAGAACCCCTGAGCTGAAGCTGTATGAGCTCTCAAGGAGCAACTTAGAGCTGCACATGCCACAGGGCTATCGAGTTCTTTGGAGTCCTGATATGGCACTGTGGGTTAATTCGCTGGACCACAAGATCAGTTTGAACCACAAGGTTGGAGGTTCAAGCTCATCAGCTGCTCCTTGGAAACCCTACTCGACGGCACATAACAACAACATCAAGTTCTCTGCTACATGGTATGATACTGCAAAGCTCTAGCTCAAACATTCCAATATTGTCAAGATTAGCAAGGCTGATTGCACACAAAACTACGAACTCTGCTTTGGAAACTAAGTCCACAGTTCTCGGACTCTCCTCTGGTTCTGAGAGTACAAGAAGATTGATCAATACAGAGTTAAGAGGGGCTTGCAGTTGCTGAGAGAGTACGTGGGAGTCACAGCTGCAGAGCCCAGAGAGAGGGGCCAAAGGAGACCACGGAGCCCTCTGAGGCCCTGGTACTGGCTGCAGAGCCTGTTGCTGATGAGGGAACTATGTTGGCACTCACCCAAAGTAACTTTGACAACACCATCACAGAGGGAATCACCTTCATCAAGTTTAATGCCTCATGATGTCACCATTGTAAGAATTTGGCTCCTACGTGAGAGGAACTCTCTAAAAAGGTATTCCCTGATTTGGCAGGCGTCAATACAGCTGAAGCGATGGCACTACTGAGTGGAACATTTGCAACAAATACTCGGTACGAGGCTAATCCACATAGCTGCTTTTCCAAGCAGGAGAGAAAGTCAGTGAGCACAATGGCAGCAGAGACCTTGAGTCATTGCAGTACTTTGTCCTACATCTGGCAAAAGATGAACTGTAAGAACCCAGTTGATCGTCGCCTCCGCCGCCTGGTTGCCTATACCCGGTGCTCAAGAGTTCAATTACACTGATGCTGCGGAGTTTCAATAGGGTGTTTCTTTGGAAAGCTGAATGTGCTAAATGTGTGTGTGTGTGTTTTGTTTTGTTTTGTTTTTAAGTCAGCACACTATGTTGTTGTTGTTAAGTGCTGTTGAGTTGGTTCTGACTCACAGCGACTCTGATTTCTGAGGAGCGGGCTGGTGATTTGAAAAACCAACCTTACAGTTCAAACTGATCTTGTGGTCCGGTGCCTATCTTTCAGTACCATATCACGACTCCTATTGTTGTTGTTGTTGTTGTTGTTGTTGTTGTTGTTAAGTGCTATCGAGTAAGACATTTCTAGATAAACAGGTATTAAGATAATTTGTAAAAATCAGACCAACCTTACAAGAAACATTAATGGGCAGAGAACCAACAATGACAGACAACAACCTGAGGCTAACATACATGACAAGTCATTGGTCTTGTAAAATCCTATCATGCCATCTCCAGCATCATTTTTATCACCAAGACCATATTTTCCAACTCCCAATCCTTCCTCTTTGTTTCTAACCTTCGCATTCCAATCACCAGTAATTATTAATGCTTCTTGACTGCATGTTTAATCAATTTCAAACTGAAGAAGTAGGTAGAATTCTTCAATTTCATCCTCTTCTGGCAATAATGGTTGGTGTGTAAATTTTAATGACAGTGGTACTAACTGGTTAGACTTGTAGGCATAAAGATATTACCCTATCATATACAGCATTGTACTTCAAGATGGATCTTGAACTACTCTTTTTGGCAGCTACTTTTTCTCATTTTGAGTTGTACCCCATCAACAAATGAAGGTCCTGCAAATTTTTCTACAGCCCCGTCACATCACTCTACTTAGAGGAGACATCTCTTCCCAATTGAACTTTGAGTGCCTTCATCTTCCTGCAGTATATCAGACAATGTTAAACTGGCTTTTAATAAGGTTTACAGTGGCTAAACATTCAGAAGTAGTCTGCTTCTCCTTCTTCCTAGTTTGTCTCAGTCTGGAAGCTAAAATGAAGCCTGTCTACCATGAGTGACACTGCTGGTATTTAAAATAACTACCAGCAACACACAAGCCACCACAGTACAAAAATCTGATAGATAAGTGGTGGTCAGAATAAATTGTTGTTTTTGTTGTTAACTGTTGTCAAGTTGTTTCCAACTCATAAAGATCCTGTAGAGTTTCCAAGAAGAAGTTATTGGGTTTTAACCTCCAACTGTGAGGTTAATAGTCCAGAGTTTATCTTCACCAGGACCCCTCACAATAGATAGCTTTTTTAAAAAGTATAAGTGAGAAGGATCATGATTGATAAAGCTGGTGAGTATGGGGTCCAGGCTACAGTAAGAATTTAGGTCTGAATAAGGTGTCCATATAATGGTGGCATAATGGTAGGATTTATGCTGTGATTAAAAAATCTGCTTAATAGATATGACTCAATTTTCATATTCAGGTTAGCATTTATGGATACATTTTATAGTTAGTGTATGTTCAGTCTTTAGTTCACCAACTACTACAAATCTTACATAAGACCAGTCCTATTTAATTTTTTGTGGCTATTACAAAAGATAATAGATCCCTCTTTGTCCAGATTTTATCTATTCCTACTAATAGACTAAACCAAAGATCTTACCATCTGAAATACATCAGAACCTTCATCAAAATCCACCATAGCAAAAAATATCTTATTGGTAAATGCACTGGAATATCGCCAGGAGTTTGCCAGGATCTGGAATTCTTCATCAGCTTGCCTGGATACAATAAAAAATTTAAAGATAGCATATACAGCAAATTAAAAATAAGCAACATAGTTTATCAGCAGTAAAATATATCCAAATTAACAATAACATACTTTTCCCAATGAGATTTATATATACATATTTAATGACAAGCAAGTCAGGCTCTTCTGACAGGGTTAGCATAGACCTTGGAAAATACTGCCATTTTTTTGGCATAAGAGAAACCTTTGCCCAAGTGTTAGGAATTTCATGAGAAAGGAGTACAGGTGACCCTTGAACAATGTGGAGGTGATTGCTAGTCCCTCACCCTTCCATTTCCCTAGCTGGAGAGACAAACTGCACACTTGGAAATGATTAGCTTCAAAAAGGGTTTTAAACAAATACTCACAACACTTGAGCTCACCAAAATAGCAACAGGAAAAAAATCTACATATAAGTGGGCCTGCACAGTTCAAATCCATGTTGTTCAAGGATCAACTGTAATTACATGACTCTACTTCATACTTTGTGCCTGTTGCACATTGTTATGGATTGAATTATGTCCCCCCAAAATATGTGTTGTGAATCTTAACCTCTACACCTATAATTATAATCCATTTAGGAATGAGTTGTCTTTATCATGTTAATTAGGCAAGATTAGTATAGAGTGGGTTTTTTGAGACATACAAGAGATGGCTCAAATGAGTGTAAGAGAGATGAGATAAAATAGATGTTAAGACCCATGGAGATTTCAAAGGAATCAGGAAGTAGAAGCTGACAAGACAAGGACCTTCCTTCAGAGCCAACACAAAGAAAAAAGCCTTCCCCTAGGCCCAGCTCTGAATTCAGACTTCTAGCTTCCTTAACTCTGAGAACATAAATTTGTTTGTTAAAGCTACCCATGTATAGTATTTCTGTTATAGCTGCACTAGATAAGTAGGACACCCACCCTAAGGCTCTTTCAGTGGTCACTGAAAAACCCAGGTAATTGTTTTTATACCTATCTTTAATATCCTAAATTATTTCTAAGATGTCAAAGAAAATATAAAATTATTTTCCCCCAGAGAAAGTGTTGTTGTTGTTAAGTGCCCTTGAGTTGGTTCCAACTTATAGCAACCCTATATAGGGTTTCCAAGAAGCGGCTAGTGCGTTTGAACCACCGACCTTGTGGTTAGCAATCCAGTGCTTATCCTATACCACAACAGGACTCCAGAGAAAGACTATGATATTAATCAATTTTAAAAATATAGAGCACAGATGGTGGTGGTTGTGTGCCACTGAATCAGTTCCAACTCATAGCAACCCTGTATGAGGTTTCTGAGGCCTTAAATCTTTTTGTGGGAGCAGAAAGCCTATCTTTCTCCTGCAGGCTTGAACTGCTGACTCTGTGGCTCGCAGTCCAGTGCTTATCCTATGGAGCCATAGTGCTCCCCAAAACACAGACACTACACTTTGTTAATAAAAATATAGTCAAATGAATTACTACGTTGAACTATAAGAAGAGTCTAGGGAATTCAGATTACTTAAAACATCATCTTTGACTTTTCACTTATCTCCCAAAGTATGCTTTTGGGTTCAAGATGTATAAATTCTTAATTTGTGATTAACCCCATTCCTACCTGCTTATTCCCATTGTTATCATTTACAGTCAGATCCTTAACAGATGACATTCCAACAACAGCAACAAAAAAATCACAAAAAAATAAACTCAGCGTCATCAAGTTGACTCTGACTCATAGTGACCTTGAGTTTCTGAGGTTGTAAATCTTTAAGGTAGCAGAAAGTTTCATATGTCTCTTGTGAAGTGGCTGATAGGTTTGAAATGTCAACTTTGTGGTTAACAGTAAAGTGCTTATTGTACAGTGCCATTAAGGCTCCTAACATGCCATTGTTGTTGTTATTGACATTGAGTTGCTTCTGACTCATAGCAACCCTGTATAGAGTTTCTGAAGTTGTAAATCGTTGCAAGAGCAGAAAGCCTCATCTTTCTCCTGTGGAGCAGCAAATGTTGTGGTTTGCAGTCCCGTGCTTACGACATTAGGATTTTAATAATACTGACTCTATTATCTCCTCCCTCAATCCTTACGCCACAATATAGATCAATCTTCCTAAGTGACTACTTTCTGAAATCCTTCCATTTCTCAGAAACCACTGTTCCGTTACCATAACTTTAATAACAGTCTCTAAGCTCTTTCATTGGTTATTGAAGTTTTTTCTTTCTTTTATCATCTAGCTCCAAATCTTTTATCTAGTCTTACCACGAATCAGTCTCAAACAGGAACCCTTAATTCCAGAACCTTGTTTACTATTATCTCTGTACCTTTGCATATATTATTGCTTCCAACTAGAACAACTTGCTTCTATCGAAATCTGGATGTATATTATGTAGGTCTAGCACAAGTCCTATCTTCTCCATTAGGTCAATCTTAACCATTCCTATTGTATGAACTTTCCTGAAATTTTACAGTATTTATTATGTATACAGTTCACTTGGTACTTACTACAAACTGTGTGTAATTCATTTCCCTAACCAGGTGATAAGGGTAAAGCCTCCCTCTTACACTTCTCATCTTAACAGCACCAAATATGAGGGGGCTTCAAAAATCCCACTTTCCATGAACTTTTTGAAGCCCCCTTGTATGCTGCTTTATACATATTGCTGTTACTTAATTTTCAGTTGTTGAATTAATTTAGAAAGTCTAAATCCTGGTAGCACAGTGGGTTATGCTTTGGGCTGTTAACCACAAGGTCAGCAGTTCAAATCCACCAGCTGCTTTGCAGGAGACAGATGAGACTTTCTGCTTCCATAAAGATTTATTGTTGTTGTTATGTGCCGTGGAGTCTGTTTCGACTCATAGCGACCATGTACAGGGTTTCCGAGGCTGTAAATCTTTACGGGAGCAGAAAGCCTCATCTTTCTCCTGCGGAACAGCTAGTAGTTTCGAACTGCTGACCTTGCGGTTCACAGCCTGATTCATAACCACTACACCAGAGTGACAGGCCGTTCTTGAGATTTATAGCCTCGGAAAATCTATACAGGGCTGCTATGAGTAGGTACTGACTTGATAGCATGCCGCAGAGCTAATTTTAACTTTGGTCTTATAAAATGTAAAATGCCAGTAAGGAGTTAGGTCAGTTTTAATTCCATTAATTTGCTTGTAAGACTAAATTATTAAAAATTTGTGCCCATTCCTTGATGTTTTTATATACTTTTCATTGTTAGTAAGTGAAAATACTGAATGGGGAAGACTTATAGATTTTAAGTTTACTCATAGTTAATACCAATCGTTCTTTTTCCTTCTATTCATTTTAAAATTTTTATTTAGCAGATATCCCCTAAAAATAAATACTTTAGTAGAACCAAATACTTTAACTATCCCCCACATTCAGGGAAAAAAATCCTTTAAGAAAAGTTACCAAGGCTTAGGATAGCATACAAACTATTGTGGAAGAAGGTTATGTATTCTTTCACATGTCCCAGGCTGTCAGATTTGAGAGAATCCCTAAGCTCTCAGTAAATAATTTCTTTATAGGGTGGTTTGTTATTTCATTTAAAGCGAAATTCCAAAATATATATATAAATAAATACACTTAAAAAGTATAAGCTATTTTATCTTTTTAAATAACTGCTCTTTTGAATTATCCATAGTATTTCTGTTTAAAGACCAATCTTTATTCTGAAGATCATTCAGAAACAAATCAATGAAAACAATGAACTACTGTTTCATGAAAGTTTAAGTGAAATTATTCATCTCCAAGGTCACATTCACTGTAAAATGATCTAGGAAAAAGGAGAAACCTCCAAATCATGCATCTTTGCTTTTTTAAAGAGTTCTGTTCTCTTATAATCCAAATTTGGATTATTTACCATTATTCCAGTAATAAATATCGCTAATTTTCAGTATATTGGTTATATTGAGTCTGTTAATTTTTAAAAAATGGAATATTTGCTTTACCTAACATCTGAGATTGTCGTGATAAAACAAGAGTATTAAGTTAAAAAATATTTAGAAATAATAAAACACTACACCAATGCTCACTATGAGTCGGAACCGACTTGATGGCACTTAACACCTGGTAGTGTTGGGCCACTAAATGCAAGGTCAGCAGTTCAAAGCTACAGGATGCTACACAGGAGAAAGATGAAGCTTTTTTCTTCCTGTAAAGATTTACAGTTTCGGAAATCCTATACAAGGTCAATATGAGTTGGAACCTACTCGACAGCACACAATCACTACCACCACCACTACCACATCAATGCTGTTGTTGTTGTTGTTAAGTGCCGTCGAGTCGGTTCCGACCCATAGCGACCCTGTACAGGGTTTCCGAGGCTGTAAATCTTTACAGGAGCAGAATGCCTCATCTTTCTCCCGCGGAGCGGCTGGTAGTTTCGAACTGCTGGCCTTAAGGATCACAGCCCGATTCGTAACCACTACGCTACCACATCAATGCTACTGTCTACCAATATAAGGTGACTGCATTTTAAGTTATTCATATCATAGCTACCACAATATTTCACCCATACTTTCTGTTACACTCACTAAAGGTGGTCAGTTAAAACCCACTAGTCGCTCCATGGAAGAAACGACCTAATGATCGGATCCTTTAAGGATTTACCAGGATTCTAACTGGTTCTTCCCCATTCAGTCATGACTTAGAAAGTGAAACCAGAACAGACACAAATCTGTAAAACATTAGTGAAGTGGAAAAATAACCAGAAAGGGAAATATTGTGGGTTGATGCCCTGATAAGGGCAGTGTGCACTTTGTATAGCAACCAAATTTCTTGATCCGTCAGAGACAACTATGCTATACTTAAAGATGGCAACCAACCATGGTACTTTGAATGTATGCCACTCTCTACAGTTCTGGCAATAATCTACTCTTACATAACATGCTTACATGAAAGGGGCTTACTAAGGTTCTTCTGAGTCCTCCATTCCAGGGCTTTAACCTGCAATTTTTCCTACTGCAATTATTCTACTTCAATCAAATTTTATAATTTTGGGTCTGATTCAATTTCACTTCATTGGC